ACTACATTAGAAACAATGGGTCATCTATTTCTTATACAGATGAACAAAAATGCTCCGACACTATTTGCAAGATTAAAGACAAACTAGATCCATTTATTCTATCTCTTCAGATATATCACTGCATAGTGTTGAGGAATGCTGAGGAACTGAGTCCTTGTTTGTTCTTGTTTAAAGATGAGAACTGCAGCAGAGATAGGGACAATGAGCAAAAATTATATCCCAATAGTTCTGTGGGCCACCAAGATAGAATGTTTGGAAGGGAGATGAAAGAAACAGGGGCCCTCTGACAGTAGTTGATGAAATGGCTGCTTGGTGACTGTAGTGAGAGGGGCAGAGCCCTTATTGCTGGAACCAAATAATCAGTGATTGCAGTTTCCTCCTTGGGAAATGGCATCTGCCTTTTGCTGAAAGCCAGGGAACATCTCAGAAGCTTTGTTAGGTCCATTTTCAACTGACATGTCCTTCCTTTGGATTACCATTGGACAATGCCCAGGTCCACCTGCGTGGAGAGGTGCCGGCCTGGGTAGAGCATGGTCACCCAAGAGGGGAAGCCGGTGTCCTGCTATGATTGTCTTCAGTGTCCCATAGGGAGGATTTCAACACAGATGGGTAAGTGGAGGGACCCAGGGCTATTTGCAAGGTTATCCAGGAGTCCTAAAACCAGACTTATGGTAGTTCCTGTCTCCTTTGCCTGTTAACACATATAGGACTGTATTTCCTTGAAAAGAAGACCACCTGAGAAAACAACAAACATAACTGTTGCAATAAAAGGGGAGATGTGTCATCTATTTTATTTACTGCAAAATAAGAGTCAATGAAAAATAAAGTTCTGTGCATTCTGTAAATACTCAGATTCACTTCTTTCTTTCAGATGCAAACCAGTGTGTGATGTGCCCAGAAGATCATTATTCAGACAGGAAGCATGAACAATGTATCCCCAAAGAAAGAAGCTACCTCTCTTTCCAAGAGTCCTTGGGAGTAGTCCTAATATCCACAACACTGTTCTTTGCTGGGATAACAGCTGTGGTCATGTGCAGTTTCATTCAGCACCAAAACACCCCCATTGTCAAGGCCAACAACAGGTGCATCACCTGGGCCCTGCTCTGGTCTCTGCTGCTCTTCTCCTTCTTGTTCATTGGGTGGCCTGGAAGATTGACCTGCCTTCTGGGGCAAACCGTCTTTGGTATCGTCTTCTCCACTGCTGTGTCCTGTATGTTAGCAAAGACCATCATGGTAGTGTTGGCCTTCATGGATACCAAGCCTGGAAACACGATGAGGAAATGGGTGGGGAAGAGACTGGCTGCATTCGTCATCTTTCTAACATCTCTGCTTCAAGCTGTCATCTGTGCTGTGTGGCTGGCAACATCTCCCCCCTTCCCAGAGTTTGACATGCACTCTGATATCAGTCAGATCATTGTTCAATGCAAGCAAAGACACCATGTTTTACACAGTCCTGGGCTGCAGACACTTATCAGCTTCACGGTGGCTTTTCTTGCCAGGAAGTTGCCTGATACCTTCAATGAAGCCAAGCTGATCACCTTCAGCATGCTGGTCTTCTGCAGCGTTTGGGTGTCCTTTGTGCCCATCTACCTGAGCACCAAGGGGAAGTACATGGTGGCTGTGGAGGTCTTCTCCCTCCTGGCCTCTGGAGCTGCCTTACTGGGCTGTATCTTCCTGCCCAAGTTATACATCATTTTGTTGAGGCCTGAACTAAACACCCGACAGCATGTTGTAAGGAAAAAACTTGCTTAGAACTGAGTGGGGAAATTCTCTGTTCCTTGGGAATGACTGTTCAGTTAAGCTTGAGCAGGCCGTATGGGCTGGTGCAGTTTTTCTAACAATCTTGCTTCCAATCACAGAGGGCTTTCTAGATCCCAATCAGCACTTGGAATGATTGCCACCCACTATAACTGCCTACAGCATTCTCATTGCTGCATATCTCTGAGAACTGGTGCACTTGGTTCTCTGATCTTAGTTGTGTGTGCCTGAGCCCATGGTGAAGCCTGATCATCCAGCTTTAGGCTGAATCCAGTAGGGCAGCTAAAGTATGAAGGGCAGCCTTAAACTTTTTATGGTGGTAATGGAGATTTTCTGCATGTGGTTTTCAATTGCTGGGCTACTGTGTTGCATACCTTTGCTTTCACAACTTCCTCTGGATAACCATAGAATATTTAGAAGAAATTAAGAGAACAGTCTAGGAAACTGTTGCATGATTCAAGTTAAATTTGCCTTTCTCTCCCAATGCTCCCTAACCATCCTCCTTGACACCTTCCATGTCCCTCAGACTCAGTGTCAGGATGGTGGATGGATGGAGAGAAGCATCTATGGTAGGCAGCAAGAATGAGATGTCAGGCCTACAAGCTTGACTCTTCCACTCTCTAATGGCTTGATTTGTATCCTCAGTTGATTTTTTTTATAGGAGTCTTTTGATTTTGCTAGTCTCCTATTGCAAAATGATCCACACCATCCTGACCATCCAGCTTACTGGGGGACAAAGCAAGCCTTTTTCCACTTGGGCCTCCCATCTGATGTTGGTATGCCTTTGCTGTAGGAGCACCATCTTCATCTCCAGAAGACTTTTGTCCAACCACCATCCAGACCAAGGCAGGCTGGTGTGTGTGCTGTATGTCAATAGGGCCAATGCTCATCATATGGATATGCATTAAAGGATTCTGCACCATATCAGATTCCCAGATACCTCAACACTGCATGTGTGTGCAGAGATTCATGCACCAAGTAGGTGGGGTCTGAGACAAAAAGTTGCATTATGAAGGGCTGCACTTCAGGGTGCCTATATTTAGGTAATCTTAAGACTTTTTGTAGTTCCACAAACCCTAGTGCTCCTTCCAGGTATCCTGAGATCACAATGGCTCTATATGATTTCCCACATGCAAAGCTTGATACTTTCCCACAAAGCGAGATCAGTGAATTCCCAGATAGAAATTTCCCCAAGGAAGAATTCTTCTTTAAAGATGGGATCTCCTGTGACATATGGGGCATCTTCTGAGAGCTAAGGATGTTTTAAAAATGATTTTATCCATTATGTGCATTCACCTATTAGATTAATAATGAGAAACTGAGAATTGCTCAACTAAGGTTTTTTGGGTCAGACAGACATCATTTTAATGAACCCATGACTTAACTCCCATTGAATTCAGTGGGTTTCCTCAACTTTCAACTGGGTCATTTCAACTGGATCCCACCTAACTAAATATTAAGAGCAAGACATCAGTGTTAAACGTATAAATAAGAAAGAGGCTGAAGTCCATTTTATTAAAAGATGTATTCTCCCCACCCTGATATGCAAAAATTAGTCAGATAGTAACAAAATTACATAGATGTTCTAAGAGAGTGCACACAATGGAGGTTTATATTGTTATGTATGGTGTATGTAAATTGGACAGAAAATATACTGTTTCCCCTCAGTCTATGAAACAGCCAAGTAGGAGATTCAAGACAGACTAAACCAGGAGCAGATACTCCAGAAATGGTTGGCCTGCAATACCCATCCACTCTCATCTTTGGGTATGCTGTTTAGGTCTGATGTGAGTTCTGCAGCAAAACAGCTAGAGCTGCGGGAGCTGCCCACCCTGGGACTAAAGAAAGAACTTTCTCACATTTTGAAAAATTATGGGATTTGCTGTTGAGAATCTAGAGAATCTGCTGTTGAGAATGTGAGAGAAACACAGTTGTCTTATTAAAACGGGTTGCAGAATCAAAGTTGAGCTAGAGGTGTGTTCTCGAGGTGTGGAAAGAGTGGAATCCAAACTGAAACACCCCCTCCAGCCCTCTCTTTCAGCAAGATCCTGATTTCCTCATCAACATGCACCTTGAGGATTAGATGGCTCTTAGTCTTTCTTTATACACAGCACAATCCAGCTATGCAGTTCACCTCTTCAAGGTGTGACAACAACTAGCAACTTAGACCAATTCATGGAGAAGGATACCAGTGGCTACTGGTTATGGTGGCTGCATCTCAGGGTGCCCATGGGATGTTTTGGACCATTGTCACTCCTGCTGGAATTTGTCATCTGAAGCACCTAGAGGGAGGGCTACTGGGGAACTGGAGCAAGTTAATGACCTTATGAGTTTCCACAGGCCTATGGTGGGCCAGTGTGAGAAAACAAGATGGTGGCCTAAATGAACCTTCAGCTTGATCAAACATGGCTTTTCAATTCACTTGGTCATTTATGTTTTTATGAAACAGCTAAAGAAAATCGCTGAGGTCTGTAACTACTGGAACAATCCCAGAATGAGGAAATTTCTGCCAGACCTCATGTTGTCCAAGCCACTGGGGCCATAAGCAACATTCTGTAGAAAAAAGAAAAGAGCCTCCCTTCTCTGAAATGCTGCAATATTGTCTGTACCAAAAGTGACCTCTATGTAGAGTGTTAACAAGTCTCATTGTTTCTCCATTGGCTGCTAAAATGAAAACTCGAATGCACTTTTTTCCCCAAAAACTGATGGTTGAACCATGCCCAAGCTCCAGATTTTCCACAAAGCTACTGAAGAATGCTTTAATCAGCTTGATCAATGGAAGCTTTTGTTGATTCACCCAAGTGAGCCAGTTTAAATCAATGAAAGACAAAAACAGGTTCTTACTTGTATAGACAACAAATTAGAGAAGGCTTTTCTTTCCAGCTATGGGTAATAACTTTTGCTTAACAGGTTGGTGTGGAATGAGTTCTCTTTGGGTATGAGCTCCGTGGAAGAATGCATGCTTTGCCTACAGAAAGTTCCAGCTTTGAGTCTCAGTATCTCCATTTCAGTGCAGTGCTTTTTTTGTCATATAACGCACTGGAACAGAGTTCCGGCACCTTTTTTCAACAGATTTTCCAAGTTTTAAAAGTAACTTTTGAAAATTTGATGTTTGGTCCACGTGGATTTGAATCGCCCTGTCGAGTGTAGCAGGTTGGCGGCAAAATCATTACAACGGTGCATGCAGGCTGCTTGTGTGTCGAATCCGATGCATGCATACTTTGTCCGCACTGGTTGTGATGGCGCTGCTCGGCTTGTGATTGGTCGTGTGGTCGCGCACTGAGTGCTTACTGCAGGCGGCGACAGTTATGTTTCAGTACACAACTGACGTGTATGGGTGTGTGTACAGTGATTGACTACATACAAAAGATAAATAATTTCATGAGTTCCGGCACCTTTCTTCTTACAAAAAAAGCACTGAATCAGTGTATCAGGCAAGTGATGGGAAAGATCCTGTGCATGACATATTGATGCCAAAGAGGGCAATATGAATGGAATTAGTGGACCAGTAACTAGACAATATTGGATAGTTTGATCTCATTCTGTGTGTGTGTGTCTGTACAACACTATGTCTGTCAATCCAATGATCCACCTCCATTCAACTGTACCTTTACAACAGTGCTGGGAGATAAACTAGGTTCAAAGTCACTAACTGACCCCAAGTGATCTTCGTGGCTGAGGAAGATCACTTTCCCCAATCCTACTTCAGCTGCTACAGTATACCCAAGGCTTCTGTGTTAGGAAAAATACTGGCTTAAATGTTCTGCATGTAAAACATGGAATCAACGACATAGCTCCTGTCTCGCATGCAAGAGGATCACCTGCATTAGGAAAAATGCAAAAGATAACAGTATAAGGACTATTTCTGCTACAGAAAAATTGTTAAAGCTTTAAGGTGCTGGAAAATTCCTTTATTTGCACTGAGGACAGCAGATCAACAGGGCCACTGGCCTAGAATCTATTTGTGTATGTTTCTGTGTCTAATGAGTAGGTTTTACTTACAGAGAAAGTGGAAATAAGGTGCACGCACTCTTTCTGCTAGGGTGATGCCAAAATATCCTGGAGGGCAGAGTGAAGATCAGGGAAGGCAAACTGGTAGTTGCTCTGCAGAGTCCGCTTGGGCACCACTCGTTGCCCTTCGAGCAGCATGACGCTCCGCTCAGCTCCAAAGATGGCAGATACCACAAAGCCTGGCAGAGGCAACACGGCGGGCCGTCGGAGCACAGATCCCATGGCCCGAGCAAAGTCCCCATTTGTAGTGTTCACCGCTGAGGGTGCAACACCATTCAGGATCCCGCCAACACCCTCCTGCTCCAGCACGTGGGCCACGATGCCTGCCAGATCTGCCACATGGATCCACGGAAAGGGCTGGCAGCCAGAAGCGATGGGCCCTCCCAGGCCACAGCGAAAGGGCCACAGCATCTGGGCTATGGCACCACCATCTCTGCCCAGCACAACACCTCAGGGGCAAAGAGAAGGATTAGGCATAACCACAGCAATTTACAGAGCCACTCTGAGCACTCAAAACACTTGGCATCCATTAAGTTAGCTTCTAGATTAACCTGGCCTCCTTCAATCTGATGTTCCAGACCATACCTGGCATCCTCCCTAACCCACATGGCCTTGATAGCTGAGGATCCAACACATCTGGAGAGCATCAAGTTGGGAAGGTTGGGGAATGGGTAGGTTGCCCCTGGAACTGCAACTTGGGGTGTAAACAATGGATCTGATGAGGAAAAGACTCAGGAAAGAGTAGTGGGGAGACTTCAAAAAATCACAGAATAGTAGAGTTGGAAGGGGCCAGAAGGCCATCAAGTCCAGCCCCTGTTCAGTGCTAGACTCCCAGCTAAAGCCTCCCTCTCAGGTGGCTGTCCAGCTCCCCATGAAGGCCTCCAGTGTCTCCCATGCAAGCACTGACCAGACTGAGACCTGCACAGCTTCAAAAGGCTGCTGCCTGATCTGCCTTCAGTCCACAGGCGCCCCCTGTCCAGTTATAAGCAGCTGCTACTCTTCCCATGAGCAGCCTCATGGGAAGAGGCTGCTCATGTCTCTTCCCACATTTGCCAGGGGACTTGAGCTCACCCTTGGCCTGCCACCCCTCTGGACACTCATCCAACCTGCAAAATCGCTCAGTCCTGGTTTGGGCCGTTTCAGTTTATCACCCCTATCCATCCCACTGTATGTGCCTTCAAGAGAGACTCGTGCTTCACTTCTTACCAGATCTCACCACCACTTGGCGTGTGGCATCACCAGGGATTTTAGCCGCTGCCTCCCAATGGCTCACCAAGCGAGAGAAGAAATCAAAATCTCCCCCAGGACTCTCTTCTGTGTATTCGGCTGAGTGGCTGGGCGGGTAGTACCCTGGAAGGTACATCACACAGCAATGTACGATGATACAGGATTCTACTCCAGATGATGTGACTTATCTAGCCCCTCGTTGCATCAGAATTATACTTATTTGTCAATAAAGCAGATTTTGTAAAATGATAAAAGTTCACACTAGAAACCTCGAGTAAAAGCCAAGTTTAAATGCAGTTCCCTTCCTTCCCCTCTTCTTCCTTGACTTCATAGGTCACAGCCACCTTCCCATGAACTCTAAGTTCCCTTGTTTGTCTGTTCCCTTCCTGCCACCTCGCCTAAGGCTTCCCTAACCTGGTCATTCTGACTGGAGTTTTGTTTCATCAGCTGCATGCTTTTCTCTTAAGATTCTGTCTTTCCCACCCATCCTGCTCTGAAGTCATTCTTAAAATCCCTTTAAGTCCTCATGAATGCCACTGCCTACTCTGCTTCCAGCCACAGGAGCTCTGTGCGCCCCTACTTCATTTCCCCTCTTCCCTCTCAGATAGCCTGCCATTATACTACACTTTCTGCTAACAGCATGTCATTGCTTTTTGTTCCCAGGTCCAAGAAAATTTTGTCTTCCATCTAAAGCAGCTATTTACATCACCTGTGTTGATGATCAACACCCTTCCCCTGGGCAGTTGGAATGTTCCATAGCACTGAAGCTTAGTCAATAGCTGGATTAGCCCATAAGCACACAAGTAACAGGCTGTATGACACAAGGAAAATTGTTCAGTGGTGGGGAAGGCACTACACTTTCTCTCACATTAATTGTGCTGGGGCCATTCCCACAATGACTAAGGGACTGCACTTTACAGCTGTTTTACTATTAATGGGGGCCAAGTAGATAGCTCTGGAGGTAAATACCTACGCCGGTGACCAGGACCCAAGTACGAGGTGGATGCTCAGCTTCTGCAATGGCTTTTGCCAAAACCTTTGTGGTTTCCACCCGGCTGGCAACCACTTCCTGGCGAAAGGATTCATTCCACCTGCAGCAGCAACAGAAGTCACCAGTATGTCATACCCACATTGATTTTCCTACCCATATTGGCTACTGGCATCGGCCCGAGAAGTCCACTACATTTTCCTCCCAGAAACAGCGCAAGGGAAGAAAGGTTCCTGACAAAGATGTTGCTGTTTGTGTACGCTTTGCAAAATGCTTTTTCCCGGAGTTCAATGGCCCCATTGCTTCCTGCATAGAATACTGGAAGGAAAGGAGAACACCTAATTCCCTTGCTCAAGGCACTCCCGGGAACCTTCCTGGGCAGCGTAGGACCAACCAAGTCAGATGTAGCACAGTGGGCCTAGTACTCGAGCCTGTTAAACCTCCCACTTGGGCGATTCTCGGGGGAGCAGGAACAGCGAACTGCCGGACACAGTGCACTGCATGGACGGGAGTCTACATTTAGCCTGCAGCTGGCGCAAACCCATCACAGAAGTAGCTTCCCAATGCAATTATGGACAAGTGGCAGCAGCAACGACAAAAGCGATACCTGGAAGTCAGGTGCTGGAGGGGAAACAGGCCAGGGGTATTGCATGCATGGACCACTCCCAGCTCTCCCAAAGGCCTGTGGCTAGCCAGGAACACAGGCTGCTGCCTGCAGTGGGTCTTTGGTCTGATCCAGCACCAGGGTACAAAATCTCAGGCCCAGGGATCCAATCTGACCCTCTTAAGGTTCCTCAGACAACCACATCCCCTTCTGTTGGCACATCAATCATTGGATAGTTTAGACTCTGTGCTGATTTCTGCCTCATCCAAAAAGGCTGAAATGCTTCCTTTAAGGCTGAATTAGCACTAAGAGCATCAAGATAGGATATGCCCCTTGGTTTTTTGGGCCCTTTCACCACTGGAATGTGTTCCTCAGAGGTTTCCTGAATCAGAACTCAGCCTCTGGGCTTGAAAATGCTTTGATGGTCCTACAGCATGTCTTTTCTTTCCTTTTTATTCTGGATCCAAGCCATCAAACCTGAAGCAGGTGCTACAATGCCCCCTTAATGGGCAGCCCCTTTTTTGCCTCACCCTAAAACTTACCTTATTTATTTATTTATTTATTTATTTATTTAGAAAATTTGTAGGCCATCCATCACTGTCGTCTCCAGACAGCTTACAACATTATTTCAAATCCTAAATAAAATAAACTATTCCACAACTGAGCATAAAACTACCCTATTTAAAATAAATTAAATAAATCTAATAGAATTGAAATTACTTTATGTTAAAATATTGGTCAAATAAAAAGGTCTTGACCTGTTGCCGAAAAGCATATAATTACAGCCCCAGTTGGACCTCTCTAGGGAGTCAGGGCGCCACTGCAGAGAAGGCCCTCCTCTGGGTCCTCTGTCTCCTGACCTCTTTCAAAGAGGGTTCCCGGAGGGCCTCTGCTGCCAATCTTAGGGAGTGGGAGGGCATATAGGGAAAAAGGCGTTCCTTTAGGTATCCTGGTCCCAAGCTGTTTAGGGCTTTATCGGTAATAACCAGCACCTTGAATTGAGCCTGGACTTCAATGTGAAGCCAATGGAGCTGAGAGAAGACTGGAGTTATGTGAGAATAACGACCAGTCCCCAACAACATCCTGGCAGCTCTATTTTGCACCATCTGAAGTATCTGGACTGTCTTCAAGGGCAGCCCCATGTAGAGCGCATTACAGTAATCCAAGTGGGAAGTAACCAGTGCGTGTGTCACTGTAGCTAGGCACTGTTGCTGTATCCACTTTCTCTCCCATTTTCAATGTGACCCCCTCCAAAAAATAACCAAGTGGGCTAGTCTTTCTATTCCTCTATGGCTGTCTCTTGCACTTGCCCTTCCTGTTCCCTGGGCACTCTTCTTGCTCCTTTTCCTTCATCCACTGCTGTCACAGCTACAAACAGAGACCAAATTTGGAGGTGGGGCTGTTTGGAAATCCTATGCATCACACCCAACAGATCTTGTGCAAGCCCCTGAAACTTACCTCCGAAGGGGGTTGAGGACATTTTCTCCAGCTAAGTTGACTGCCCCTTCGCAAGGAGGGAGTCCCAAGCGGGAGAGTTCGTCCTGGTGGAAGGAGGAGATGGCAGATTGTACACACTAAGCACTCCAAGAGCTTTGGGTATCAGGTCATTTAGAAAAGCAATAACATATTGAAACTGGAACGGTGTCAACATTCCTCCATTATGCAAGCTTGTCCTTCCCACTCCAGATCAGAGGAGAAAACTTCATCCACATTAAAGGCACATCCAGGAAAACCACCAAAATATTGACACACGATTCAAGGTACTTCCAGAACCCAAGCAAACTGAGGGCACAATTGTATTCACGTTTAGACAGAAGAAAATACTACAACTTCATGTTTAGACAAAAGAAAATGCTACAACTCCCATCACTCCTCAGATATGCTGTAAGGTCATTTTCTGTCTAAACATGCATAGGACTGCTTTGGCTGTTGTGCGGGGGCAAAAATTAATTAAGTTTACGTACCCAAGTGATCTGGTTCTTTCCAGGACGGCGGGAAACAGGTGTGACCTCATGGCCATGGCTCCTCAGCAATTGGGTCAAGGCTCTGCCAATAAATCCGGTCCCACCTCCTAAATCAAAGGTGGAATTCTAATCACATTATTCTTAATTATTATTTTAAACCACGGGTCTCCAGGGAACTCACAGGATGCACTCATTCGATGATGAAAGACATGCAGTACAACAGAGCAGAGCATAACAATGGGACCTACCACCTAGGGTAGTTGTGGGCTCTCCCTCACTGGAGACATTCAAAAACCATTTGGACAGTCATCTGAGTGGGATGGTCTAACTTAGTGTCCTGCAATAGCAGAGGGTTGAACTCAAAAGGAGATGACACGAAGGAAATGGAATCGGGGTGCAGGATGGGAAAGACACAGGCACAGCTTAGTTTTAAAGCTCTTATCGGTGCCGTTTGCTTATTTCTATGCTGCCCCACAGCCAAAGCTCTCTGGGCATTCTATAAAAACAGGTGATAACAGTACAATGAAAATATCATGAAAACAGAAAAAATTAAAAAGTTTAAAACAGCTAAAAACAGATAATACAAATAGACCCTAACAAGGAATAACAAAAAAGAAAAAGAAAAAATAGAAACAAGAAACAGAGGAAAAAAAGAAGAGTGACTCTGCAAAACATCAGGCGATCCCCCTCAAGCCCCTGAGTGACTGAGTAAGTCTGTATTTATTTGGTTTCTAACCCTCTCCATTAGCCATAAGGCTCCCTGGGTGGGTTTCTCAGTCTTTCAATGCCTGAGAAAAGAGGGCTGTCTTTACCTAGTCCTGAAAAATTGACAGATTTGGTGCCACCTAGGCCACAGTGGAGAGGTTATTCTACAGATGGGGGTGGGGGAGACACCCCACCAAAGACCTTCCCCTTTTTGCCACCCTCCATACCTCCCTCAGAGTTGGCACTTGAAGGACAGCCTCTGAGGTTGAGCATTGGGTAGATCACAATTGGGAGAGGCACTCCGAGAAGTATTGTGGTCCTAACCATGTTATTTCCGGCAGGGAAAGATGAAACCAATTTCTGCTCCTTCTGTGGTGCACTTTCTGGGAAGCAGAGACAGTGGGAATCATAGAATTGTAGTGTTGGAAGGGCCCAGAGGGCCTTCAGGTCCAACCGCCTGCTCAGTGCAGGACTCCAAGATAAGTAATCCTCTTCAGATGGCTCTGGCATGGGAGTGCCCCCATCTCCCTAGGGAATTGGTTCCATTGCTATAGAAGGAAGGTTCAAAGTGGTTCTTCAGGGCCAAGAGGAAGGGACACCAAGTGATGTCCAGGGCCAGGGGACATTGGTGACTCCTAGGTGAGAGGGGCTCTTCCTCCTTGCAGCTTTGTAAGGACCACCCAGAGCGACCCAGGGAGGTGATCTTATTTGAGAGAGGGCGTTCAGCACACTGGACAGCTCCCATGAAAGCTCAGTGCAAACACTGCAGTGGCTGAGGGGCCCCACGGCCACACCGACCACCGGTCTGTCCTGCTTTCTCCTCACGGGCGCGTGGCCCCCAAAGGGGATCTCACGGTTGCATGGGAAGGCTGTCTGCAAGGCAAGGTCACAGGGAAAAAAAGGGGGGGATCCCGCTTCCTTTGCGATGCAGGCACACTTGCCCCACGTGCAAAGCCACAACCCCAGCCAAAAAAGCAACAGCAACAGCAGCAGCAATGCGCCCCACTGACGGTCCATCCAGGACGCTTCGAACTCGCGTCCCCGGGACACCCACTCACCCACTAACACTCTCATTGCTGCATAGGACGATACTGCGCGTGCGTGCGGAGGCGTGCCCCCCTCCTCGGCGAGTTCAAGACCATAGAGAGGAGTGGCTGCGTACGAGAGAGTGGCACGGCTGGCCTTCCGCCGTATTGATAATACGCCTTCTACGGAGGCCGGGTGCGCCGCTCTAGCCTTGCGGGCCGTGCAAATTGTAGTGGGACGACTGTCTCAGTTTTAGTACTCGGAGGGACTGCGCGGACTCTATTCTTTTGCTCTTTTTGCACTCAGGACAAGGTATGGGCGGGCGCACATGTATAGGAGCAGAAAGCGTTGGAAAAGCGTGAAATAATAGGAATCGGGGGGGGGGATTTCTGTTCCCATGGTTACGCGGGCGGAAGTTGTCGCAGGAAGGGAAGCCTGGAGGCAGACAGGAAGAGGTCATAGCGGCGCTGCCGGCCGGAGGAGATTCGGGGCGCGATTCGAACCGTGAGTCGGAAGGGAAGGCGGTTAAAGCGTCAGCGGGGCCAGCGCCTTTCGTCATCGTAGACGATTAGAGTAGAGGGGGCGTCTGGATGTGTCGGGTTACCGCTCCCGGTTTGGGGAGGCTGGGAGGTGTAGTCCAGGGCACATACCTATTTATATCTCACCTTTTTCCTTTCAAGGAACTCCAGGCAGCTTACATAATTCTCCTCCTTTCAGGGTCTTATCCTCACCACAGCCCTGTGAGGTAGGTCGAACTGACAGCCTGGGACTGCCCCCAAATCGCCTCCGTGACCGAGCGGAGACTAGGACCCAGATCGCCTGTATTTTAGACTCGCGCTCTAACCACTGCACTACACTAGCATCTGGAGAGCGCTAGGCTAGGCTGGCACTGAGACGGTCGCAGGTGTTCAGACCCTCAGTTCATCCGGGTTTATTAGGGTAGCAGACCCGAATTGTGGTGGGCTAGGTCAGAATGGGCAGAAGCCAGGACTGGACCTCCTGGTAGCTCTTTGGCTGATTCGAAATGTACTGGCTGGGGTTTCTGACTCCCTGTTGTTCAGCCATTGCAGCGATGAAATGGCTTGCTTCCAGCTCTGAATTGTTAACATGAAAATTACAAGAGCTTGGGGTAACATGCAGTGGAATTTTATTTTATTTTGGTATAAGGATTTTGAACTGCAATCCATTCCTGGGATTGGCCTTCTCATGTTATATGTAAGAGTATATGTCTTTTACAATATATGTCTCTTACACCAGGCTTCTGTTAGTCAGTATTGGGTCTTCTAGTAAAATAAATAAATCAAGTAGGTTCTACAAGCCTGTAGTCTGGCTTTAAAATGTTATTGGCCAAATTCCTGGTGGATAAGGCTTTCAGTGCTTGGCAGTTGTGAAGAAACTGCTATTGGCTGGAGGATGCAATTGCATTGATGGGGTTGTGAGTTTCCTTAGGCAGCTGGTTAACCACTATATGGGCAAAATGATTAAATAAACCTTGGTCTGATCCTTGTTACAACTTTTATGACTTTAAAGTGAGTTCTGGCAGGATTAATCTATAGTTTCATTAATGGCCAGCTAGGGGATGCTGGAAGTTGGACCGCAACTTGTTTGGAGAGCACTAATTGGGGAAGGCTAGTTTACATGCTGGTTGGTTTGGTAGTAGAACAACCAGATGCAAAAGATGATAGAGAGCTTCTGCAACTTTAATAGATGTACCAGAGAAAGAATTTCACTGCATTGCATTTGACACAGAAGCCATAGCTGCTGAAACTCCCTCTTCTGCACACAGCTTTGAGAAGTAAATCTTGTCCTATTTTGCATTTTGTTACCTGTTTTGAAAAACAGCAAATGATTTGGGAATGCAGCTGAAACAAATGAATGAGTAGGAACAGGGATGGAGTCGGTAGCTGTGCCAACATACCAGTACACTGGAGATAGTGATAGTACTGTCAGTCTATGTTGCAGGGGGGAGTGTCCCAAGTGGCGCTGATTTTGTATCTTTCCAATATATTTGTCACTCTGCTGTAGATAGGGAAGTAAAGCTGAGAGCAGGGAATTAATCCTAAACCATTTAATGAATTGTGGCTGACGTAGCCGAACCCAGGATCTTCCAGGATTCCGGTTCAAATTTAACCACTAGTATGAAATGGTACAGATTTGTGGGAACCTGGTTGGAGGCATTGGGGAAACTCTGTGATTTCCTGGCAATCCCTGAAAATAAATGGATTGAGAGGAGTTCAAGCTATTCAGGTTTCTAATGTCTGTTTGGGATTCTCTTTTGCAGACAGAGATGAGCACCCCGGGAGGACTGGTGACAAATCGTGGGCGGCGTTTCAAATGGGCCATTGAACTGAGTGGTCCAGGGAGTGGTAGTAGGTATGTACTTAGAAGGAAGTCTGCATATGATTTCCCTTGTAACAACTGGTTTGATCCAGAGGTGGGTATATCTGCATTTTGACTCAGCTCTGAACATTCCTCTTCTTGCCAGGGGCCGGAGTGACCGGAGCAGTGGCCAGGGGGACACCCTCTATCCTATAGGCTACTCAGACAAGCAGGTGCCTGACACAAGTGTTCAGGAGACAGATCGCATCCTGGTGGAAAAGGTAGTGCAAGTGTGGAAGGACAGGGCTGGCTATTTGATTCCTCTTTGTGTGGGTTTTGAGGGAAGCATGAGGCGAACACAGGATGGCTTTGGGGGGTGTAGAATTTGCCTCCTGAATTCTGCCCTTTCATTTTTACAATAAACCTTTCAGCGCTGCTGGGATATCGCCCTGGGTCCTCTGAAGCAAATTCCTATGAACTTATTCATCATGTACATGGCAGGCAACACAATCTCCATATTCCCCACCATGATGGTGTGTATGATGGCCTGGAGACCCATCCAAGCACTCATGTCCATCTCTGCCAGTAAGTGTATATGCGCCTCTCTCAAGAAGTCCCTTTGCTCCATGCTCCTTTATCTAGCACTATGCCCCAATCTTCTCTCACTTTTTTCTCATTCCATTCAATAGCAAAGAGACAGCTTTTGAAAAGAAATTCTGTGGTGAAGAAATTTTAGAGGAAATGATCAGGAGCTGGGTGTGGCTTTCCCAGGAGTTTGCTGAGGAGAATGTGCAAGAGTCCTGCTTTTCTCTGTGTAGTCATCTCTCTGGAGACCTATAGCTCTGTCAGCTTTGTGCACTTCAATTAAACCCAAAGGAAGACATCAAGATGCAATTCCTTCTATAAGGCTGTTTTACATCAGGAAGTACAGATAGTATGAGAGGCTGCAGAACCATGGAGAAATCTATAATACAAGGAAATTGCACACAGAGCACTTGTGGCCACAGTAGGAATCTAAGGTTGTTGCAGCTGAAATCTAGCAGCAGAAAGTCTTGAGTGTGTAAGCAGTGAAGGGGATGGCAAGACTGTTCCTCAACTAGACTGCTTCCGGGTTCAGGTGGAGCTTGCATAATTCCTGCATGGAAGCAGGCATTTTCTTTACACAACCCTACACAACAGCAACAAGATTTGGTAGTTTGGTATGTGCAAATAGTATCCCCCCTCTTTCATGGAGTATTCCGTTATATAATCCCCAAGTGGTTGGGTCCTAGCATTATAAGAATGTAGGGTATGCATGCCAGATGTTACGGGGAAATATATTCCATGCTACAGAGGAAAAAGCTAAGGAGTCTATGAAGGGTCAGAAAATTTATAAATTGCCAGCTTTAACTGAACTGCCAGTTAGTGGAATGGGTTCTCTAGTACCTCATCTACTCACTGTTTTTTCCCTTTTCTCAATAGTACGAAACTCTTATCTGGGCTTACACATTGTCAACAGACCTCTTAAATCCTCTAAAGGAGAAATTCAGGGCTAGGTTTGTTGTGACTTGATGCCACCCTGCCTCTTCCTGAAGTGTAGGTAGTTTCTGTGCATGTGCTAGAAAGGTAACTCTGTCGTTGGTAACATGTTTCGTGGCTTATTATTCAGAAGACATCCAGGCAGGCCTTCACATCCAGAGCTGCCCAAGTGGGCAGCCGTTTGTTGGGTCTCTAAACTCCTTTTCTGCTGTCTCCACAGCCTTCAAGCTGCTCGAGAGTTCAAGCCAGAAGTTCCTTCAGGGCCTGGTGTATTTAATTGGCAACCTCCTAGGGTTGGCCCTGGCTGTATACAAGTGCCAGTCAATGGGACTGCTGCCAACTCATGCCTCTGACTGGCTGGCTTTTATTGAGCCACCGCAGGTGAGTGTAAGATGTGTGGGGAAAGTTTAAAGAGGAATCCTGTCTCATGGAGAAACACAGGGGGCCTTCTCTCCCTCTCTGCAAGTACACAGCCACCCAGCGGCCATGTCCCAACTGTCTACAACATATTTCTGGGAGGAGGCTGAGTGTTAGGGAAGGATCAGCGCTTGTAAACTCTGAACTGCACGAAAACTAAGCAGCAGATATTTAAAGCAGCTTACAAGAGCATAGAAGTACTGTTGCATTTACAGTCTTGCTCAGTCTCACTAGTGAGGAGCCAGTTCTAAGGACAGCTTAACTACTGAGATGCTTGCTTTGGTTCATTGGTGACGCTTCCTTTCTTTTTATGCCCAGCGCATGGAGCTGACAGGTGGTGGTCTAGTGTTATGACCTGACCTGACCTGACCCAGATCATGAAGCTCGCTGCTGCTTTAGGGGTGTGGATACAATCACCACCATAGTCGTTACTTCTTCCCTCGCGCTACCTAACTCCAAAAATCCTGGATCCCAAGTCTGTGTCGCTGCTTTGTAGAACTACAGATGGACATGCATAGACAAAAAGGGAAATAGAATACAAAGGTCTGAAGTGTTGTGTGGCAGGAGGGGCAGATGGCTCATCACAAGTTCTTTTTACTTCTCGTGGACTGTACAATAAACGTGTTAACATACTTTAACAGTCTTCTCATAGCTTTCTTGAAATGGGCAGGAGCTACTCCACAGGCTGAGAACCCATCTTTTTCATATAATTTATGTATATTTCACACTCAGTGACAGTACAGATGGTGAAGGACAATTTGGCATGGGGTGGGTAACTTGTGGCCTTCCGAAGTTTTCGCCCATTGCTCCCATCAACCTTTTATCATGGTGGTTGTGACTGGTGGTCCCTATTGCCCGTGCCTTACTATCTTCACCTTAAAAATGATGATATAGCAGATGATTTGAAAGACCTCTTCCTGAGCTCCTAGAGAGCCAAAGGTAGAGCAGATGTCTAAATCATGTGATCTTGTAGAAAGCAATTTTCCTCCATCTACCTATTCCCTAACATGGTTGGCTGTTTAGACTCCAAAGCTGGGCTGGGGAGAGTTTGCTGAGTGCTCTGCGGGTAGAATATGTCTTTCAGACCTTGCAGAACTCCAACTTTGCCCTCTACCCTAATATTAGCAGGAATTGTGGAAAGTGGATGAATGTGCTTAATAAAGAACAGACACAGAGCTATTTCCATCACTTGAGTTTTCCAGTTGTTGATGTGCACTCAGGCACTGCTGATGAGGTGGAAGCTTGGACCATAGTGGCTTAGTTACTCCATCGCTCTTTCCATGTATTTGTTAACCAGGCCACCAAATGCAACTTCTCTTTACCAGTGTTTTGAATATTTGATAAAGCAAAAGACCAAGCCAGGCCTTTTTCGGCTCACAGATCCATAAAGGTAATGAAAATAGCTGGGAAATCATTCAGCTACCATGGCTGAATGATGCATGATCCGTGAACAGACTGCACTAGCAGAGCCACTTAAGCACAGCTGCTCAATGGAAATATTATATATAAAATGTTTATTCTTCACATAATTGAGGAAGCAAAAAAATCATACTCCAAAACTTGATGCTATGTAAACAAGGTCACACCCCAATAAATTAAAAGGCCTCCCCCAAAATAGAGAGATGAGAAACGTCTTGTGAAATTCCCTTTAAAAACAAAACGGGCGGAGAGGCTAGAGATGAGTCTGCTTTAAGGGTACCCCACAGGAGTGTTCCTTGTACCATGTTGTTGAGGAAGGGGTGTGAGCAGCAGGAGATTTAGACATCCATTATTGAAATTGAATAGGACACAACAGACACAGCACCTTTCCCCAGGCTTGTGCCTGTGTGGGGGAAGGAGAACTCATTTCCCAACACTTATAAAAACTGGAAGCTGTGGGGTCCTCACTACTGAGAAGCCTATCCTGGAAAGGAGGTGATCTTGCTGTTGGCATATTAAGTTTCCCTCTTGCGCAGGGTGGAAGTGTGAGAGCAGCAGCCATTTGAGAGCACAGTTACGGAAGTCAGAGGATGCTGTTCTTCTGGTTCCTGCTCAACCATTTAGGAAAAGAGGTGCTTTCCTCTCCTCCTCCCCACCTGTAACGCTAAATCAACTAGTTCTACAGAAGACCTATAAAGACTGGGAAAAACTGGGCTTCCTGGCTTCCTTGCCCAAATGGGAGCACGCAGGCCAGTGGAGAAAGGAACAGGAAAGGTAGTCACTGTGCAGCAGCCACGATCACACAGTACTGGCCCAAGAGTCCACCATTTCTCTGCCCCTCACCCCCTTTTCGCAAACAATCCATTTGGATCTCAGAATTTCAGAAAGGAATAAGAGTGAAGATACTTATTATAAAAACCAAGGTCCATCTTTCTAAATAGTCCTCGTTGTGATTTTGCTGGAAGGCTCAGCAGAAAGACTTTGGCAACGACCCGAAGGAAACGGCACGACGGAGGTTGCGTCTCCCTCCCTCCGCACCTCTCAGCAGCATCCCCTTGCTCTCCTCGATCTTCTGGATACACCAGTGACATGTAACAGTCTCTCCAGCTTCTCCAAGCCTGCCAAATCCCAACTGATGGACCCTGTCGGTCCACTGATGTAATGGCCAGCAGAAGGTGTTGGTGGCAGCAGCAACACTAAGGTGGAAGCAGCCCTGGGTTTTTGCTTTGTTTGCTCCTTCTGACCCCCTCCAAAGCTACTAGTTGCCTCACTGTTCCTATACCAATCGGGGAAGACAAAGCCATCTCCCACCCACACTCCAGTCTGGTTCCCTCTTGTGGCAAGCTTATGCCGCTTCTAGCATGTGCCTCTAACGTTATGGAAGGTGGCAAGGAAAGTGTGGGCCCTCCATCCTCCCAGTGGGGGAAACCACCTTAACCGTGGAACCAGACTTGCCAGAGGGAAAAGAAAGCGAAGGAGGCTTGGAACTGATAGCTGCTCTCCTCAGGAGATCAAGTGGCAGGTGGTAACAGGCAGGAAGCAAAGGCTGATTTGACAGAACAGAGTCCTTCGGGGGAAGCCCTCCTACCTCCCCACTAGGAGTAGATGGTGATGACCTCACTGCCACCACCCCGCACAAGCAGCACGCGCTCCAGCCCCTCTGTCAGGACCTCTAGGAACTCCATATCTGCAAGGGGAGGGCTGTCAAGGAACAAGCAGCAAGGAACAAGCATCCAGTACCACCTCCAATCCCTCTGGGGACCCAGCGTGCGGACCGCCCCCTGCAGAAAAAGATACAGTTTTCGTCACCTTCAGGATTTCGAGGAGGGCCTGGCATGTTGAGCAGCACCAGCTTGGCCTCATGGGACTTGTTGACAATGACTTCATTAAGCTTGACAGCCGTGTGCATGCGACGCACGTTGGACTGGTCCCTAGATTGGGGTGGGAGAAGGACATCATCACCAATATCCAGCAGATACGTAGATGTACACATGCAGAAAGCTCAATCGGGATAACTACTCTGTGACTCCAAGGTAGGGAAATGAAAATGACACTAAAGTATTTGTGGACTGGGGGGCAGAGGGAGGGACAGTGCATCGACTCCCCCACCCCAAAAAAAAAAAAAAGAGTTAATGGCATAATAGTTGCAGCAAGGTGCCAGCAGGGACTACTGGCCATGATAGATAGGGGACAGAAAGAGAAACAAAATGGTCTCACTTTCCCAGAAGGAAGGCAGGGGGGAGGGGAAGAGCTTTTGAATGTATGAACTGAAAAGGGGCAACCAGTTTTTTATCTTCCACTTTTGCTGCCAGGCAAGTTGCCGTGCAGGTGTAAAGTACGAGGTGTCCAGGATGATCTTGCCACAGGACAGAAATGTGATGTACCCAGAACACATTAGTTCTGAGTGGTATGAGATAATCTGTGTCACTATTCAAGAAAGTTCCTGAAGCTACAGAATACAGGACAAGTCTTTAAGAGCAAGTTACATGGGCAGAAGAGGGGCAAGGTATTCAAGGAACTGGCAGGTCCTTACGGCCGTATATTGAGCAGATCCTGGAACCCCTCCAGGGTCTTGCATTTGTGCCCACGGGATGCCATGTACTTGTCCTTGGTCCATGTCATGTGCACCTTCTCCTGGTATGTTTCAGTCTCTTCGTCGTCATCTGAACCAATGCTGGTCAGACGTAGCATAGAGTTCCTGTCTTTCACAAGCTGAGCCTGTGAGGAACCAAGCCCAGGTGGAACAGTGAAGGAGAAACCCAAAACTGCTGATCTTTTAACCTCTCCCCTCCCGCCTGGCCTAGCCCACGTCACCTCCCGGTCCCGTTCTGTCTTGGAGAGACGCATTTGCCGCAACATCTGAGAGCGCTGCTCCATCATTAGAGTTCTCTCATAGGTGTAGGCGGAGATGTCACTGTCATGCTGCCAAAAGAAAGAGGAAGAGCAAGGAGTTGAAAGCCTCAGCCAAAGCAAGGCTTCCAAAGCACACAGTGATGCCCATATTTCTTCCTATTGAAATAAGCTGCAGATCTGTGTGCGTATTTCTCTAGGAGCTTGCGTAGCTACGACACATCTTGAAAAATGGAGTACTATGGCCTAGAAGGCAGATTACAGTGGCTTCTGTAGAAGTGTTAAAGAAGCAAGATCAGAGTAGCTAGTTATGGAGGGAAAATGTCAACAATTAACTGGTGAATACTGAAGAAACGGCATTTCATCTGAGCATGAAGATGTATGAAGCAGAGGTGGGATTCCTGAGTTCAGAATACCTCAAAGTCTTCAACTCATTTCCTATTTCCCAATTTAAAACAGTTCACTACAGCGTTGTCGGGGGGGACCTTCTGTGCACCCCTCAACCCATCCCTGCCCTTCTCCCCAGAGTTTCGGTTCTCTCACCATTTCGACCACTTCCACCTCTGCCTCAATGCGGAGGTGATAGAGGAAGGTTGCCAGATCCTTCTTCATCTGAATGCTGTTGTCCTCCAGCTGGGCTACTGTGAAGATGCGGATTTTGCACTTGCGCCAGACCTTGAAGGAGGAGAGTTAGTGGTCCCTTTTGCTACCTTAGCATCTCCTGCCAGTTGCCTCCCCGGTAACACCCCCACCCGCAGCACCTTGTGTTGCTTGAGCAGGAAGGGGCACCCCCACCCGCAGCACCTTGTGTTGCTTGAGCAGGAAGGGGAGCAGCATCAGCATGCCACCATCATGCACAATCCACCAGACGTCAATGTTCCCCTCAGAGAAGGGCTCTGCATTTCCGGGGAAGAAGGCCACGTTCTTTGCCACAAGCAAGGCCAGGCGGGCGGCCGTAGTCACACGGACAGTGCCTGGAAGGCAGGAACGGAAAATCATGTGATCGCGTTCACTAGTGGGGAGGCCTCCCCTTCCCCCCAAGGCAAGGGGCCATACCGATGAAGGTCTTCCAAGCACGGGCATCCTCGCTCTGACGCCAGGCATTGGGCCAGCCCATCACCACAGTGTTGTGCTTCATGCCGCCCAGCCCACAGGACTGAATGAGGTGGGAGATGCCCTCGCGCACCTTGGCAGCCACCACGATCTGGCAGAAGCCTTTCACCCTCTCTGCCTCCATCAGGTGCTTGATGGTCTGAAACAAGAGACATAAGGCTTCCTGAAGGCACTAGCATCCAAAGCACTGCTCAACACCCCTGCTGGAAGAATGCTTTGCCACAGGGAAATCTGGTCAAGAAGGCAGGTCTTAAAGCCCATCCTTTGGGCCGGCACGTCGTTTGGCAACAGAGGAATCACTGAAGGGACGGTTTCCTAAAATGACTGTTCCAGAGGTTTCTGTGACGGGATCAAATAAGAGAACTCACTTGTGGAAAATGTGGGCTATCAATACGTTAAATACCTCCTTTTAAAGAAAGGCAACTGCCTTCTGACTCCTAAGGCAACACACTTAATAGAAGCTGCGAGTCTTGTTTGGAAGAAATACTCGGACACAGGATGAACATGTGTCCCAGATCTTGACTAGTCCTAATCCAAGCAAATTCCCTCCACGATTTATGCAGGTTTAAAAATGGCCAGGCCACATAGCTACAAGAGCCTGCATGTGGCCAAACCAGGCACATGCCTGCTCAGTAGTGCTGCCTTTTTAAATTAAGAGGAGCACCTGGGGAGAACCTGTCTTTTTTGCCTGCCTGATACTCTAGGAAGAGGTGCGACAGTTCCTTCTCCTCCCATCCCGCCTGCTCCTTTTAATGGCTAGACATTAACCCCAACTTGTGTGTGCTTGGCCCTTAGTTGTTCATAACCCTGGATCTGTTCAAGAGGCCAGTGCTTGGCTACAGAAGCCAAATCTCCACTAGGGGGCACCACAGCAAAGGGAAAGAACACCCATTTTGCATGCCAGAGGTTCGATCCCAGTATCTCTAAATTAAGGTCTGCAGTAGCCAGGCTGGAAAGTAGCCCAGTTCCTGGGACTGTGTTGCAAGTTTGGACGATACAGCGCCAGCCTCGCTGGACCACTCTTGGGCCAGATATATGCCAGCTTCCCACTTTCTGTGCACCAAAAAGACTATTGGAAACCTTTCCTTTGTGCCTGTATCACCACCATGGGCCTCAGTGTGTTTCCAGGCCTGGCACGCTGCAGCTTAAGCCTCCTACTTAACCAGTGTAGCCTAGTAATCTGGAATGGATCTCGGCAGTGGTTCACCTGCTCAGCAGCCAGTGCCTCAGAGTAGCTCTCCAAGAAGTTGCCCACCATGACAGAGCCTACAATGGTGAGGCCTTTGCCGGCTTTCAGCTGGGAGGCAAAGGTGAGCAGGCGTGGATGCTTCACATGCAGGTCTTCATCCAGCTTTAGCAACACCAACAGTTGTGGCCTAGGGAGAAAAGGATGCCCAAAATGCACATATGGGGGTGAAAGCAGATGGGTTCAGGCGGCCACAGGGAAGCACACGTTTGTGTACACAGATGGAGCGGTCAAAAGCACAGCATGTATATTCACAGTACAGATACACGCAAGTGCCCCAGCTCTCCGCACATTATACACCTAACCCATGGCGTGACAGCAGAATCAAGGAGCAGCAAGTCTCTTCCCTACCTCCAGTTCTTGGTGTGGGGTGGCCCCTCTTCAAGTCGCAGCAAGGCGAAACGGGCTGCGCTCAGGGACAGGCCCCGGATGCCATCTCCCCATTCCTTCTCGGCCCTGGGGGAAATGCACAAAGGACCATCAGCCAAGCAAGAGGCTTAGAAGGGCAAAGAAACACACATGGTTGCTTGAGGAGGAAACAGTGCCAAGGTGACCATGCAGAAACCAGGCAGAAAGTGGCCAGGTGTCATGTCTCCGTCCTTATCCATACTCTGTTCTAAATTTTTCACCCTTCAAAGAGGGGGGTCCAAGGGGTCTTGGCTCCAAGCCTCAGCATCCTCTGCCTAGTGCTGCATTTTTTACAAAGAAAACAATTGATTCCCCTCCATGGTGGAAAGAAGGCAGCAACTGTAGCCTTCTCTGTCCTGTTACTGAAAATAGAAGTCTACTGTGGCTGCAGATACCTCTTTCCCAGAGTTAAACGCAGAATCCAAAGGCTGAATGACAGGGGCCCACAGCCAAACCATTACATGACAAACTCTGCAAGACTGTCAAGGGCAAAATGGGACCACCAAGGATTCTACTCACACCCACTGAGACTGGCTGAATCGGTGTCACTACAAGGAATGTTCCCCGCTTCTCCTTTGTTGAGAGAGGGGAGGCTAAGAAAGGAGGTCTGGATCTTAAACCCCCAGGGGCCTTGAGGTACTTACTTACCCATGGTACTCAATATATTTGTAGATCATTCCGGCTATCACCATGGCAACAATGGCATAATACCACGAGGAGATGAACATGAGTGCCACACAGATACTCATGCCCATGAAGGAGAGCGCCCTGCAAGGGAAGGAAGATGGCTTCGGAATACAAAAGCTAGAGGAGTTTTTGTCTTTGTTACTTAAATGCCAAGATTCTCCGAATGCTGAATTCCGTTCCAGAGAACAACTTCTGTCCTTTTAAGCAGGCATGCCAAGAGTCTGCCCCAAACTTGCTGCATTCCAGTTCCCCTGTTCCACTCTCATCTGCAGACTGCATTCCGCTTGCACAAATGACACAAGGACTTCCAGGCCCAAGTTCCCACCCCCTCCCACTCTGCACTCCCACCTATATCCTTCCCTCTTCCAGACCAAGAGTGAGTGTGATGCTCTTACCAGTGGTAGTACCGGAAGCGGGGTCTCCAGTTGGGAGAGCGCAGTAAGGTTTGTAAGGCGCAGGCTAGGTTGACAAAGAGGTAACACATCAGGAAGAACCTAGGAGAGGGCAGCAAGTAGTCAGTGGCGTGTGCATCCGAGGGGCCCCGTTCCATGATAAATATGGCACTTACATGGAAAGAATGGGGGCTACCAAGTCCAAAGAGGCGATAAGGATCCCCAGTTCCGCAATTCCTGCTGTAAGGAGCAGGGCCCAGGTGGGCTCCCCGTTGGCTTTGCCGTGGCCAAATACCTAGGAGAGAGAGAGTGGGGAGAGGGAGATCACGCTTCTATCTTAGAAGCGGGATGCTTGAAATGAACATGGGATCGTGCCGCATGCTGAGGCACTCTTACCCGCAAGAAGGGTATAATGTTATCCTTCGCTATGGCCTGGAGGAGTCGAGGTGCACCAGTGAGACTCTGCAGCCCGGCTCCGCATGTGGAGAAGAATGACCCAATGACGATGACCCAGGGAGAGGGCCAGGACAGTGTCCCCACCACCAGATTCCCCTTCACTGTGTCGCCAAACCTATCCAATGGAAGCAAACCACAAGACAAGGGACTGTTGGCTCCAGCACTAATGACAAGTACGGCAGAGATCCAGTTGAAAGAGACTTCCAAAGCAGGTAGACAATTGAGAAGACACAAGGCTGGACCCAGACTAAATCAGCTGTATTTGCATCCCGGTGGTTTCAAGGGAAATAAAGGCAACTCAGTCATACTGCAATCTTATACTCCTCTGCTTGGAGGCGAGCTCAACATGGCTTGCTCCCAGGTAAGTGCGTATATGATTGCAGCCCTAGTCTGAATTCAGCCTATAAAAAGAAGCGAGAGAGTCAACTATGAGCAAGTAATCTCACAAAATAAGAGGGGAAGGGGAGAAAACTGGATAGGTCAGAAATGTGTACCCAAGGGCTCAAATTCTGCCTCCAGAGGGAGCCCACACAATTAACCAAGGTAATCTAAGCTTGCTATCCAGAATAAATTTACATAACTGGTTTGTCTTCGAAAACTGCGGTGCTGCCACTTACTTGTCTTTCAGTACAACACCTTCCACACAAGCCCCAAAGAGCACCACGTTGCTAAGATCTGGTGTGTCAAGCAGTCAAGGAATACAAATACATCATTATACAACATGGTGCAAGAAAGAATACAGTGAAAAAAATCAGCCAGCCTTCCCTTGCATCCATGAATTGACTGCAACCTTATCCTTTCCTTGCTTCTTGACTACATAGTGCTTCATTTGTTTGCTGCAAAGGATACACACAAAGGAGGTGGTGAGAATGGCCAGGATTGTACCAATTGGGATAGATTTCTGGGCATCCTTCAGGTCCCCAGAACGATTTGAACCAGCCATGATCCCTGTGGAAACAAAAGGATAGGAGTATGGAGGAGCTCTGTGACTCCAGTGCCACAGAGAGTACAAGCATCAAATTCTGTGGCCAATTAAGTTGCTTCTTCGCACAGCCTTGTTTCTGCAGGTGATCCATTACCTTGATATGTGGGCAACAAGTTGGTTTTATGATAAGCAGCGTCATAAAAATCATGCCCTCGTGCATCAGACAGAGCCAGTATAGGAAAACAGCAACAGGGAAGCCCAGCACCTTACCTAAGGATGGCAGACTTGGCTGAAATCTGCAGCAGTCCATGGAAGGGGTCAGCTGCCGTGATTCAAGGCCAAGTATTTACCCGTCTGATGCTCCCCAGCTTGAGAGACACACCCAGAACAATGTCGAGCAGCAACATAGCTCTTACCAGTGACAGAGGGGAAAAAGATGCCCACAAGGAGGGTGAAGGAAGTGGTGATGTCGGCCAGCACATAATGCGGGTTCAGGGCTCCCCCCACATCAGCGGAGTGCAGTGATGGCTTCTCAATGATCTCGCCCTTCATCAAGTAACTGCTCCAAAGGTTTTCTGCAATTATCAACAGGAACATCATTGTTTTGTGTGTGTATTTCACCCGTCCTGATAGATGTTTATTGGGACAGCATGCAGGGGCAACTCTTGAACCACCCCCCCACCCCAGCACTGGAGAAGCAGGTACACAGCAGAGAAAAGAAAAAAGTTCTCCCTTACCAGCGATAATGCCACTGGCCAGCCCTGGGATGCCCTGGATAACAGTGACATTGTTGTGCTGGAAATAGTCATCACAAGAGGCATTGAGGTGCTTGCTGTTGTTGCAGAAGTACTCCCAGAGGCGAGTGGGCACCGTGAGGTTGTCCCGCTCCTCAGTCTTGGCACACTTGTCAATGTGGTGCTGGGAGAGGGAGCGGTTCCCCAACATGCACACGCTGAGCGGAGACACAGAAAGAGGAGCAAGGTGGTGACGGCTGCTGTGGGGCCGGGGCCCACAGGCAGGTCACCCAGCTTGAGAGCGCCGACTCCCAAGGCTGTGCGAGGGCTGAACGCGCCGAGAAGGGGCAGTCTTTCACATGCGTCATGGAGATATTTTATTTATTTATTAAAACATTTCTATGCCGCCCCATTCGCCGAAGCCTCGGGGCGGCTCACAACATAAATTAAAATACAAGAGATAACAATATAAAATAGCCAGCGCTTTCACTAAACAGAGGGCCCCAAGCGCTGTGGCAGAACTACAGCACCCAGCATTGTTTAAGGGGGTGGTGGCAGGATGGCATGCTCTGCTCTGGAGACTGATTTAAAGAGACATCACAGTTGTCTCCAAATACTCTGATGACCTACGGGAAATCGGGGGGTGCGAAGGAGGACTTGATGGCACCGGCATAGATAGCCAGGATGGAGACGATGACGCAGGCAAGGAAGAGCGAGGCAAACTTGTTCACGTAGCGCACGCCCACAAACACGACCAGCACCATGAGCACCAGGAAGGCGGAGCCATACACCCGCATGTTGTTCAACATGGCGGCTGACTCTTTCAGCGGATCCTCGCTATAGAAGATGGCTGCCTCGGGGGCAATGTACATCTGGGAGGGAGCAGAAGGCAGACAGATATCGATATTAGGAGAGGCCATTTCCTGGTTAGAAGAACAGAAATGAAAGGCACAATTGGGCCTGAGCTGGGTGCACTCCGGAGGGGCCGCAGCTGACTCGCACGGAACATACTTAGCAAATGCAAGACCTTCTAGCACTCATTATGGTCTGCTGAATACTTGCCAGGAAGATCTCAATGGCTCCCAGGATATACATTGCAGCAGCAAAGGTGGTGCCCAGGTAGAAGCAGAGTCCCACGGCTCCTCCGAACTCGGGCCCCAATGCTCGTGAGATCATGAAATATGACCCTCCAGCTGCAGAGAGAGGCAGGCAGGGAAGAGGGAGAGAGTGGGCAGAGGAGCAAAGAATCTGTCTGCAGTTCCCACACATCTTACCTGCTGCTGTAAAAGAATGCATTTTTAAAACAATACTACTGTGCATTTATACTGTGTATAAATAAAGTGCATTTATACACTACTTTTTGCTAGGACCACTTCAGAGTGGCTTACAATAATAGCCTGAGACCAACAGAATAAAATCAGCAGATAACAGACAAGATATAACAGGCTGAAGGGTATTGAAAAGTATCTTAAATAACATCAGATGTCACTAAAAGCATGATAAATGGATGCACTTGGGCTAACATCTGGAAGTGAACACATTTAAGGGAAGAATTTCATAGTTTGTGGTGTGAAACTGGGAAATACCTCTTGCCTAATGGCTATCTTGCCTAACTTCTGATGGTTTAGGCAATCAGCAGAGGTTCTGATGATGACTAAAACTGGTGGGCAGGTTGGTACATGCCAGGTTGTGATTCATTAAATGTTAGGTACTCACCAGGCACAACTCCATTGGTGGCAATGGCACTCATAGAGATGGCTGTTAGCAGTGTCTGAGGAGGAGATGAGGAAACAACAGCAGGGTCATTCAGAAGACAGATGCACAAACAGAGAACTTTGCCTACGCTTATGCTGCCATGTGGTAAGCATGAGAGACATTAAAGCTGGTGCGCTGTTTTGGCAGCTCTTAATATGCTTCTCTTTCCTTTCTGGTCAGTTTCACATAAAAGGGGGTCAAGGCACTGTGCAGCACCATGAGGTTTTCCTAGCTGAAATTATTATAAGCGATTATGATGTCAGGGCAGAACTGTCGTTTTCCTTCATTGGGTTGAGGGAAAATACTTTAGTCAGCTAGGACAGGCAACATCCCAGAAAGACAGCAATAGCTCAGACAAAGAAAAGGTAGAACAGTTGTGGAAGCAGGATCATCACTGGTTTCAACACACAGTTGGATCCTGTTGTGAAGGCTAATTTGTAATTTTACGCTGGCGTCACGGCTGTGGCTTGCTAGAATAGGTAATTGTTATCAGTTGGGGACATTTTCTCCTGGAAGCACCCTCTGTAGAGCATAAGAAACCACAATTCCAGAATGCGATTCAGGGGGCAAGAGAGGGGAACTCACGCAGCAGCAGCAGATGAGGACGATGGCAAAGGCTTGCAGCACACCGGCCGTGCCAACCACCCAGGTGAGTCGCAAGAAAAGAATCACCCCAAAGATGTTCTGCAGGCAGGGCAGGTACACTCCCATGAATGTGCCCATCTGTGGAGTCTGGGACACAGAAAGGACAAGCAGGGTCACCAGACTGACCTTCTGCACCTTGTTATGGCTATCTTGCTCAACTGGGCCAACTTCTCTTAAAGGCCAACCTGCAATCCCTGCTCCTCAGACCATGAGTTCCCTTCCTCCCCACCATCTCCATCATTGCCACTTTTAGAAATTCCAGACACCCGTGTAAGATGTCAAATAAAAATAAACTGGGGGAACAAAACACACAGGAGGGCTGCCCAGCAACTCAAGTCCTGGCCAAACTCAAAGTACTTTATTACTTCTGAATGAAGCCAAGAATTTGCTATGGGCAAGAATTAAAGAATTAAATGACCACCCTAGCCTCCAGCACTTCTGCTCCCTCAGACAAAGTTGCCTCCCACATCCAACTGCCCACACTCTTTGCTGCAAACAAGCAGCCCTCCTGCTCTTCACCTTGGTAGTTTTCTTCTTGCCTGGAGGGACATTCTCAGCCTCCTCATGTTCCCGGGCGCCCTGCATCAAGTTGGTGTAGTTGGCCATGCGGTTGAGCAAAGAGGACACTTTGGGCCGGGTGTCCATCTCCTCCTGCAAAGCAGGAAGAAAGGCAGCTGACATTAAAGCCACTTCGTATCAAAAATCCCCTCCAGAGGAGTAAGACAAAATGCCCTGATCAGAGTTGAAGATTGGTGTAGTGATGAGACAAAGGCGGCAAATTAAGACAGGGGCTGGTTATAAACAAACAAGGTGCAATCTGGGAATAAAAAGGACATGCTATATGCATGGCTGGCTGCAAAAATTACAAAAATGAAACAAGATTGTCAATTATTTTCCGTAAGTCAGTCTCTAATTATGTGGAAACGGGCAGTGATAATATAGAGTACTGAAGTTTACTGTCTATTTGAAATCTTACTGAAACGCCATCTGTCTTTTAGCAGTTTCACCAAATAGTGCCCACGTACTCTTATGTCTGTCTTTGCAGGTATGAGAGCTAAAAGTGTCCACAAAGAAAGAAAGAAAGAAAGAAAGAAAGAAAGAAAGAAAGAAAGAAAGTCAAAAAGGTTCAAGGTATAGAATTTAAATTCATTGTCCGTGTTCATTTGGAAGCACGTGCTGAGCTTTGGAATTAATGCACGAGACATTTTCAATGAATGCCATGGAAAGGTAAGACGAAAACTGGATCCGTGTGTGGACAAAAAGTGGGAGGAGGGGAGGCACGAAGTGTAACCCCATTAGCAGGGCATGACGATCTCACCTCAAAGAGTGCCAAATTCTTGTCGAAGAATTCGTCACCATCTTCATAGTTGATATTGTTGAGATAGGCATGGGGATCCTTCTTGTGCCCTGGATCTGTAACAAGACAGCATGAGCTCAAGGGAAGGGACACGGTCTTATATGTCTTCCAACACTGGCCATCGGAAGCATATCTGTGCTTAGTACCCTGGCCGCAGTAAGAGGAACACGGCATTGTCCCTCACCTCGCCTTACAGGCCAAAGAGATAAGTGAGGGAGCCCCACCACCACATTTGCAAATTTGCAAAGCTGTTGCGTCCTCCTTTCCTGGGCAAGATTTCCCCAAAGGCAGTCATTTACCAATCAATTCACCAACGAGAAAATGGTTTCAGGGATAAGCCGGAGTTTCTTACTTAAAATGTCATTTTTAAGAATATGGCACATGCCCAATTAAGGGTGGCTGACAGATTGCACTCTTCCTGTGTGATTCTTCCTGTGAAAGTGCTTCAGGTGTGGAAAGAAGCTGTCAGCCCTTGATGGGTGGAGTGGGGACTTAATCATTGCAACAAATATAAGAGCTGTGTTATTCCTATTCAGTCCGTTTTGCAATTTTTCCAGTTGTTCCAAACTTTTTCCTACATCCATGAAGGTTAGAAACTAATACCTTGAAGAGCAACCCACCCCTGCCAAAAAGAAATCCTTATTGATAAGGGAAAAATTACAGGACAACATATTCATATGCAAGAAGGGTATCCAGGATTCCTGACCTCTTCTTGCACCCCAAATATAACAAGTTGCCCTTCACGCCCCTTACCATTTCCCCATGCACAATTCCAGAAACATAACCACAAAACTTTAGTGCCCAGTATCCAGATCACAAACACCAACATGTTGGCCCTTGTTTGTTTTATATCCTGCCTTTTTCCTTCCAGGGAACTCAAGGTGGCTTACATAATTTTCCTCCTCCCTGTACTCTTATCCTCACAACAACCCTGTGGGGTAGGCTGGGCTGAGTCCTTATATGTATCTGTTCCAACAGAATATTACTTTCTCACCTCCAACTCTGCCTCAGAAAAGGCAGATAAGCAAGCAGATTCCGAGGAGGACTGGGCCATCTTCTAAATGGAAGAACCTATAGAGACAGACTTGTCCTCCAGCAAACAACTGCAGCTTTTGTTGCTGGGCCCTACCCAAGAACCCTTAGGCATGGAATCTGGGCATCCGCCTGGGCTGGATTAACACCCCACCCTGTTTCCCTTAGCAACCAGAACAAAGGGGTAATAAAGCTCAGGAGATGCTGCTTTCCATTCTGGCTACATGAGGGAGGCAGCGCTGATACATACCACAGGAATAGCTCTTTGTGTGCAGGAACAGACAAAGGGCTGCATGAAATGGAACCTGGGGAAGGGGCTGTGGGATCCTGTCTTCAGACCCCCAACATCCTGCTACCAACCTCGGGTTATGAGGCTTCTCTGAATGTCCTATCCTGAGACAACATCCCCAGTGTAAAGAAACAGAGAGTTCCTGGGCCTTTCCACCATACGCCCCTGCTGACCATGTGTCTAGCAAACCCTGTCATGCACTCCAACATACCAAAGATAACAATCTAGCAACTGTTTACACACTTAATTATCCCAGACTGAAGGAGAGGCAAGTTAAGAGTCCCGGCTCCTTCCAAAGAGCACTCACTCTCTTTGAACTCCTGTGGATTGATTCACTTCCTCAAATGTATAAAAAGTAGAAGTGAGCTCAAGCAGAAGTGCTCTTTTCAGATAACCAAAGCAAGTGAGTCCCTACATAGCACTGCGGCATTGCTCTGCATCTAGGCGTCAAACAAACTTGTTATGCATAGGAGAACGCTGCACCTGCCTCTACCTAATACAAGGAAAGGCAGTGGCTGCCCAGAGGTGCAATTTCACTGAACCTGAATGCTACAAAAATGTAGAGGCATTTCAATATGTATGTATGTATGCATGTATTTATTTAGAGTTTTTGTATGCCGTCCCATCGCTTAACACCTCGGGACGGCTTGCACAAACAAACAAACATAGTAAAAAAATACAGATTATACAAATTAAGTATGAACTGCATATCTTAAAACAATCTCACAGAAAAGCTGTGGATGTTACTTACTGGCCTGTTCAAATGTTACACCCTATAAAATGTATGGGCAATAAAATAAAAGTGGGCCCAATCTCTATTCATATTTATTCTAAACAGTTTTGTGCTGTCTGATAGCCAAAGCTCTCTGAGCAGTTCACATATCCGACTCTCCTTTCATGGGACCACTCACCCCCTGTGACATGGGGGGGGGGGGCAAGGAGAGCTCACTGGGGGCTTATGAGAGAAGTTGAAATTGTAAGAACTTTCAAGTGGTGGTGCTTACCTTAAAAACAGGATGGTCGAGAGGGGTTTACTTCTCCCACTTTCTTTTGATAATAAAAATGCAAATACATGGTGGAAAATTACCACACAACAGCCCAGCAGGGTTCTTGGGGGCAGAATCCACCTGGGAGCCAGGCTACGTCATGATGTAAGATTATCCCCAGTAACTGGGGATACTGCAAGAACACTGCTAGACTGATGCAGGAAGCAAAGCTGTGCCTGAAGCTTGCCTGTTTTAACATAAAATACATTTTTAAAAACCATGGAAAACCACCAGCCACCTCACAGGTCAGGCAAGACGATACCTTGAACATTCTTAAAGTTCTCCCTTCCCAGAAGACAAAGTCAAGATTGATTGCCCAGTCTCCCCAAATGCTGGCTAAATACCTTGGCCCAGCACCAGTATAAACAAGCAACAAAGAATAACAGCTGTAAAGTTGTCCTGCTTGCTTGCAAAGTACTTGCCAAAGGCAACTAGTAAGAGGCTTAGTTACCTGCCTTCCCCAAGAACACTCATATGTAACAGCAGCTCAGTTGTTTTAAAACAGATGGGTTCTTATGCCTGTAATTCCCCAACCCATGATCAGCTCCTTTGTAGGATGACGTGTGAACCTGGACTGCTGTTTTGTTTCACGCTCATCAACCCAGCTATTAACAACCAACAATGAGTTTAACACTAGTTTGTTTAGCCTCTAAAAATCCAGCAATGCAGTCTCACTTGACAAGTTATGAAAAAACTGACCATGGGCCATGAAGTAAGAATGGAAGAGGTGGGCAGGTCACAGAAATCATACCCACTCTCTCACATCAATGTTAAATGGAAGGGACCGTAACTATGTGAGACCAGATCAATGGAAGACGTGTGTCTTCAGCATGAGGTGGTTGCTCACATCCAACTTCATTTATTAGGAATTTGCGCACACAGAGAATTAGTCTTTCCTTTGTCCACTCACTCAGATTCAGGCAACAACAGGCATTGCATGCACACACATCCCCTTGATTGTTTAACGATGGACAGCACAGACATATAAACTGCACACAGGCAAACATATACAAGACTCCTCTGCAATACTGTACCTAAGAGCTGATACTGTTCCCCTGTGATGGAAGTTTGACTCACATCTGAAAAATCAAACAGAAGATGGGAAAGAAAATGAATTGCAAAATAAAGAGAGAATGGGGGAATAAAGTGATAGGCCAGGGTTGTCCCATACCTCCTCAGGATTAAAAAAAATGTTTTCCCTCCCATAATCACGACCAACAACAAAAAGGATATGGAGTAAAAGATCATGGTGTCTTTATTCTGCCACTTCGAAATCAAACAGAGCTGCAATCCAGGGGGAGGACAAGAAATATTCAGAGCTCTTTCAAACATTGTAGGGAAATATTTTCCCCTTCCTTGCCACACATAGTTGAAAGCACTCTATTATCCAAAGAACAAAACAAAACAAGAGAGATAATGGATTTCTTTCCTTTTTTTCTTTTTCATCAGAAGGTTTAGGCTTTAAGTAAATGGACAATTGGAAGAACAGGGTTGTGGTATTTCCAATTTAGAGCCCTCTGGCTTTTCTGCAGAAGGGGGAAACCTTGAAAAAGATCAGTACCAGTCCTCCTATGAAGGGATGCTGATTAAGCTTCTGTTTGTAAATGAGCTGTTTCATATAAAGGGTTGTCACCATATTTGTGGTTATTTTCTCCAGATCGAATTGGGTAGCTACCTAATGATGTTGCTTTTCTGTAGAATAGATAATTTGGCTGCCTGTTGGAGCAGGCTAGCTTTTAGACAAGCAGGGAAATGGCAAGATCAGGAACACGGGATAGAAACTCTGAGGTCCTTCAAAACTGTAAACATTGTTTGGAGGGGAAACACATTCACACTCTTATCACAGTGTAGACTGAAGCAATCTTTGTCTCTATAAGAGGAACATTACTTTGTTTAGGATTAGAGATGCACGGAGGATGTTACTATGAGGGCACAAACTGTTGCTGAGAGAAATACAAGCACAACATCTGCACATTTTATCAAGTTAACCATGACTCACAATTATGGTCATCTTTCCCTACTCTCTTTCTTAATCAGTGCAGTTTACATGACCTTTCTGCTAACTTGAAGGAGTGCTGGAGACCTGTTCCCCAATTTCTTGCCTTTAAAAAAATCCTGGGGACTCTGTATGGTGCCCAGCTAACTTCTTTTTTAATTTGTCTGCCTGACCCTGTGATAAAGTATTTTATATTAATTATACTTGGAGAAATTGTCTATAACAAAAACACAAGAGGCTCAAGGTCCAAAAAACACCACCAAAAGATTGATTTTCTGTAACATCATACATACTGTCCAAAGACAGAAGGGAGCAGAGAAGCAGCAGCAGAGCACAGAACAGGCTCAAAAGAAATGTTTCTATGCCCTAGAGCATACTTTCCCAAGCTTGGGAGCTCAGATGTTGAACTATAAATCCAATTTTCCCTGCCCACTGGCCATGCTGGCTGAAAACATTGGGAAGTGATGCGGTAAAAACGGGTTTCAACCTCTGAAATAATGCTTGGCAAAGCTATTAACAGCATGGTGCCTATACACTTATCCATTAACGTTTTCAGAGTATTTTGCAAAAAGCAACAGAGAAGCATTAATAAACCAATTTGAAACTTCTTGAGGATATAAATTCTGGAACTCCATAAAGGAGGCTTCACAGGCACTGACCCATAGTGTCTAGGCATTCTTTATTTCCAAAAGATTTGTTAGTCTAAACGGGCTTCGGAGGAGCCTTTTCCTCCCCCTGCCGCCCTGATTTCACTGCACTTTATGCTGCTGGTTTTATTGTTTTGAGGATTAAAATTGTTTACTGTTGTGTTTTATTCTTATGCCATGCTTTTATGTTGCCAGACAGCTTGTGGGTCTGGCATAGATCAAAGGGTGAAATCAGGACAGAGAAAAAAGAATGATAGAAACAATGATTAAATTAAATTTGGGATGTGGGAGGAAAAGTGGTTTGGTTGTTTTCTTCCAGTGAAGAAAGGTCTGCAAGTGAATACGTAGGAAATGCCAGAATAAACAGATCATTTGGAAGAGACAGACAGGAGTGAGGCCTATTGATGAGGGATCAAACTCGGAGAATATACTTCTGCTCACCAGCTGGTCCCCACTACTGCCAACTGCCCTAGCCTTGGCCAGTTCCCTTGCCCTATTGACACAGTTTGACTTCCAGTAGCAGAAGGATCCTTTGCCTGTTGAATCCGTGCTCAGTGTCCAACACACAGGGCATTGTTCCTGTTCACTGTCTGGTTAGATGGATTCAAGCTGCCAGGGATAAACAGAGATTATTTGGAAACTGCAGGGATTTGGGCATTTCTGAACAAGAAAGGTGTATGTTCATAGTCTAGGAGTGACTTTTTTCCCCATGATCATCAGTACAAGAATATTTCAGAAAGTCAGGGAAAAGGTTTTGGCTTAGGACCCTCACAATGAGATCATAAAACACATTATTCAGCCTAGGGGATCCAGGGTTAAGATGCATGCTGCTATCCTTCAGTTTCTATTCTAGCATCCACACCTTAGACCCTGAAGCAGCTGTCCCCCACGTTTTTTAACTTTTGCCCTTCAAAGGACCCTCACATCAAAACAGCACGCCTTAAATTAGGCTCGTTTGCTCTTGAACAAAGAAGCACATCTTAAAATCAATGTTTGTACAGAATAGTGAACTTAATCTGTGTAATAGGGATTATGGATGCCAGAGCTGGTGGTCATTCAGGACTGCCACATCCAAAATAAAAGCATAATCTGAAGAGTCCACACTTGCTAATATCCCTGAATTTCCAGGGATATACTCTATATATTTATATACTCTAAACAACTCTTGTCCATAGAATCAACCAGAAGGAGAGGGAAGGTGACTTTACCCCTAACCCAAAGTGACACCCAGGACTTCGTGTGAGCTGGAAGCACTGGTAAATTGTTTGAACACAGTAACCACACTTATATTCAAGTGGAAAATTTCTTAAGAAGTTCAACACATATTTGGCTTCAAAAGAAGAGACTTCTCTAAAATGGGGTGGGGGGAGCATTGTAAAAAGGAAGCAGAAAGGGAAAGTCAAGAGGCTCAAATTCCTCCAGAATCCTTGGGGGTGCTCCAAGCTAGAATAACAGAAGCTGAGTTAGAATGTGTGCTGCACTTCAACACCAAGAGATCACCAGCATAATTTTAAAAAGTGTCAAGGAAGCTATTAGCAAAAAGAAGGCTTCCATCAGAAAACTTGGCAAGATATGGAGAAGAAAAATGAACAGAGGAAATGCAATAATAAAAGATTTTAAAAACTATCCTGAGCTGCAAGCGAAGAGCAACAATAAATACATCAGTGGCAAGAAACCAGCTACGGAATGTTGGATGGCAAGAAAGCTTCAGGAGCGCTGAAGGAGGATGGAGAAAATGCAGAAAAGCTGAATGAATAATTTGCCTTCATCTTCACTGGAGAGGACGTGGAGCAAGGATGTGTCTGAACTATGTTTTCAGTAAGAGAGACTGAGAAACTGAGGCAAACGATGAAGGGCAAGAGATAACAGCAACCATGTTGGATCAGAACACAGGCTTCTCTAACCCAGGGTTATGTTCACACGGTATTAAACTCACTGCCTGTGGGAAGACCACAAGGAGGGCACTGTGCAGTAGCACTGTTCTGCTTATGCTTCCTAGTTGCTGGTATAGAGACACTTGCTGCCTCCAAATCTGGAGACAGTATACAGCTGTCGTGACCTATAGCCATGGACAGCCTTATCCTCCAGTATATGGTCTAATCCCATGTTAAAGCTATCAGAATGTGTGGCCAACCCGACATCCTGGGGTTCTATACATCTATAGAACTAAATCCTATAGTTTAACTGAGTGAAGAAGTACTTCATTTGATCTGCTCAGAATCTCCCACCAGTCAGCTTCATGGAATGACCTTGGGTTGCAAAGTAATGAAGGAGAGAAGAACACTCCTCCCTGACCACTTCATCCTCATCATACACAGTTCTGTACATCTCTATCATGTCTCCCCTTCCACACCATTTTTCTAAGCTAAATGGGCCCAGATACTGTAGACTTCTCCTGTAGAGAAGTTGCTCCAGGCCGTTGATCACTGTGCTTTCTCTCTTTATTCTGTATTCCACATGTGGCTGCATCAAGGGTGATACAATGCTGGTAGTTCTGCTTTCAGTTCCTTTCCCAGTTGTGCCCAATATGGAATTTGCTGTTTGTACAGAGGCCACACACTGGGTCAACATTTTCACTGAGCTAACCGTCACAACCCCAAGATCTTACTGCCAGCTCAGATCACACTGGCATCTATGTGCTTGAGATTTTGTTGGGGGGGGGGGTGCCCCACAGGTATCACATTACACTTCATTACACTGAGCTTTGTTGTCTGTTTCAGTATTGCCTATTTTAGTGTCCATTCACTCAGTTTGGAGAGATCCTTTTAGAGCTCTCTCTTAATCCCTTTTAATTTAGCTACTCTAAATATATAGTTATTAGAGAAAGCATTATGTTGTTCCCTGTGTGTAAAATGGGCATCACAGTGAACTACCTTATTGGGCTATTAGACAGACGAAAGAGACAAAACATTTTGCCAAGCCATGCTGATCACCAATGCTATGCCAACAACAACAAATAAAGACAAGTTGTCACCATCCCATTCGCTCATCCCATGTGACCTTTTCCCCTGGTATCCAGAACAAAATGTAGGTAGGTTGAGGCCAAAGCCAGCACAAATCAGACTTTCATGAGGCATGTAGAAAGGGATTTTAATTCACAGACCAGCTCCAACAATCCACAAAGCTCTGGGAATAAGATTTTATAAATCTTGTTTTGTAGTTTTTACCACAGTTTTGTTCACGTTGATAGCAGGATAACAATTTGAAGATTAAGTCATTTGAGCCAATTCCCACCCAGGGGAAACCAAGGCCTGACTGAAAATGGGTTGGTGGAAATACTATCAGAAACTGAGGGCTTATGGTCATTTTTAAATGGGCTTTAAACCCCCATAATTCTATTTTATGTGATTGCTGAATGCTGTAGCTGACAATCATACACATCACATCTACAAATAGCAAAGTCGATTCTCAAGTGTGAATCCTTAAATAGCCAATA